GCTCAGATTCAGAGAGACCTGGACTCCGACTGGGCAGTGCCAGCCGAGTTGCCAGGGGCTGGTCTTAGTCATGTTATCTGGAGCGAGTTTGAGCCTGTGACCCCTGATGAAGTGGACAAGGCCGTGAGAGCAATGAATGCCGCCACCTGTTTATTGGACCCGTGCACCTCCTGGCTTTTCAATCTGGTTTCAGGCCCGGCTACAGCACTGAGACTGCTTTGGTCGCACTGACCGATGACCTCTGGCGAGCCCGGGATAGGGGTTATTCCTCTATCCTGGTGCTTTTTGACCTCTCAGCGGCTTTCGATACCATCGACCATGGTATCCTTTTGCGTCGTCTCAGAGAGGTGGGGGTGGCGGCACTGTATTGCGGTGGTTCTCCTCCTACCTCTCTGACAGGTCGCAGTCGGTGTTGGCGGGCGGACAGAGATCGACCCCTAGGCGCCTCGATTATGGGGTGCCTCAGGGCTCGGTCCTGTCCCCCCTCCTTTTTAACATCTACATGAAACCGCTGGGTGAGATCATTCGGCGACACGGGGTGAGGTATCATCAGTATGCGGATGATACCCAATTGTATATCTCCACCCCGTGTCCTTTCAGTGAAGCAGTCGACGTGATGTGCCGGTGCCTGGAAGATGTGAGGGTCTGGATGGGGGTGAACAGGCTTAAACTCAACCCTGACAAGACCGAGTGGCTCTGGGTCTTGCCTCCCAAAGGCCAACTGGATGGTCCATCTTTAGTCCTGGGGGGGGGGCAAATTTACCTCCCTCAGTGCAGGCACGCAACTTGGGTGTCCTCCTGGACTCACAGCTAAATTTGGAACAACATCTATCGGCTGTGGCCAGGGAGACCTTTGCACAGGTTCACCTAGTGCACCAGTTGCGGCCTTATTTGGACCGGGAGGCTTTACTCACAGTCACTCATGCCCTTGTCACCTCAAGACTGGATTACTGCAACGCGCTCTACATGGGGCTACCTTTGAAGGGCGTTCGGAGACTGCAGTTGGTTCAGAAAGCAGCCGCGAGAGCGATTGTGGGCGCGCCAAGGTACGCCCACGTGTCACCTATCCTCCGCGAGCTGCACTGGCTTCCTGTGGGTCTCTGGACGCAATTCAAGGTGTTGGTTATCACCTTCAAAGCCCTTCATGGCATAGGGCCAGGTTACTTACAGGACCGCATTCTGCCGCACAGCTCCCAGAGACTGGTGAGGTCCCATAGATTGGGCCTCCTTCAGGTCCCGTCGGCCAGACAATGTCGGCCGGCGGGCCCTCGGGGAAGGGCCTTTTCTGTGGTGGCTCCGACCTGGTGGAATCAACTTCCCCCCGAGGTTCGAACTACTCCCACCCTGCCGGCCTTTAAGAAAGCCGTTAAAACTCTCCTGTTCCGGCAGGCCTGGGGCTGATGTCCCCGGGGGGCCGGGATATGATCGGACTCGTGGTATGACTGGATTATTTTATTCTTTTATGACTGTTTTTAACCTTGTACGCCGCCCTGAGTCCTTTGGGATTGGGCGGCATATAAATATTTGTAAATAAATAAATAAATAAATAAATAAAATAAATCCTGTTCTTCAGTGGAAACAAGAAAATGAACCTACATTACTTTTACACATCCATACATTTGGCAGAATCAGCAATGGAGTAGCAGGTTATAATCAGTGCTGAAATATGTACTATTCTGTTATGGAAGGTAGCATCTGTCTGTCTGTCTGTCTGTCTGTCTGTCTGTCTGTCTATCTATCTATCTATCTATCTATCTATCTATCTAGGTTTTTAATGAATTGTGACTACACTAATATAGAGTTTATGTTCTGAATAAAAGCAAGACTGTTGGATGCCATGTATACTCAGTAAAGCAAAGAAGATAAAAATTTGTGTATAGACTAACTAAAATGCTGCCAGGATTATTTATATTGAACAGACACTACTTTATCCTAAATTCTCACAGATTTAAGGTTCTTTTTCTCTCTAAACCATGGAGAGGCATGGGAAAATAACTCAAGCAACTTGTTTCTAACCCAAATTTCCTAGAAAAATGACGTGACCAATTAAAATAATTGTGTTTCAGCAATGTGGTCATTTTTCACTTTTAACTGCTATCCACAAATCCCACAGCATTGATGACCAGACAGTAGCTTGTTAAAAATAGTCTGAGAAAAGTAAAAAAAATAAATGGCATTGGTATAAAAAATTGTGGTTTCCTACAATGTAGTTTACTATTACTCTAAAAGTTTACAAACTCAGGTTTTATAGGCAATGTTAACCAATTTTAATGAGCTTTACCGGAAAATTGCAGAATACAAAAATGAATTTAAGTATCTTATCTTAAAGTACTGGCGGTCATATATTCTATCCCTAACAAACAGAGATTGAAAATGGTTCTCTCCCAGCTTTATATGAAAATACAAGAGATTATACCTGGAGCAGTCATAGAATGTACTTTTAAGCTACAGCCCTGCTGTATGCCATATGCTTCATGGTAGTATTTAAGATTGTGATGTAGTGTAGTAGTGAAAGGGAAGTTGAAATCTCCAACTAGACTGAAATTGCCAATCTGCTATCAGGCTCAGTGGATTGATTTGGACCAGGTGGCCTCAGCCAGTTACACCTCAATTTATTACAATTCACAGGGTTTTTGTGAATATAAAATGAAACAGACATGATAAATAGGCTATTCTGAATATGTAGGAGGTTAAGTGGGCTATAAATATAATCTAAATGTTATCAGATCCGTTCTCTGAAAGGAGCCATTGCTGTAGCAAACATGGACCACAATAATTTGCAGAGGGGCTTACTCAGAGATTGCTTCAAGTATGGGATTTCCTTTAGTTCCTTAGTCAAATAACTCAAATTTATACGTTTGCTGAAAGTGGATTCTCACCTCATCTCAGGTGGGGAGTTATTGATGGTTTTCCAAGCCACTTATAACCCCGTTTGGCCTTCCCAAAACTCCTCCAAAGGGTTTGCTTGGAGGGCCTTTGAAAAATAAAAGAATAGAGAATCCTGTTCCATGAGGAGTGTATACTATCTGGTACTTGAGATTTACTAGTCCAACACTACATTTTCAGTTGTTCTTCATTCAGTGGACTGTAAGTTACCTTATTACTTTTCACTAAAAGTCCCAGGTCTACATCAAATGAAGTAAACATTTTACCAATGAAGCCAGCATAAATCCTAGTGCTCTCTTAATGTGGAACAAGACTCTGAGATGATAAATTGATAAAATACTCACAAGCAAAGTTGAAGTACGGTTAACATGATTCCTGAAGCTGGCATCTGGTAATATTGGAAGTTAATGTGGTTGAAACAAATGAGATTTTTAAATGTTATGGGGATTGAGTTGTAGCTGCCTGTAATTTTGTCTCTACATTTAGTATATTAATATCTAATATTATTTGTAGGCCAGAACTTCTTTTGCTGAATTCATCTTGACTATATTTTCAAATAAACATATTGCAAAATGAATAAAACAGAAGCACCATTCAGAAATGGTGGGATTGTCACATCCAAGGAAACTGTGAAAAAACAGTGAGTCACTAAATAAACTCCAAGCGCTTCTTTCTTTGGTAATTAATTCCATCACTTTTGGCAAGATTATTCTTAACTGAAGTCAAAGCCAGAACTCTCAGTGGCCTGATCAATTGCCCAGAAAGCCTTTCATTAGACTTCAGTGTATTCCAGGGACAACCTCAAATTTTAGCTATTAGATTGATTTTTTTGTACCTGTTCTGAACTAGACCATTGATTATATTTGTCACCAAAGTAATGCCAAAATAGTCTCTTGGTGAAAAGTAGTTTCTCCCCATGACTTACACTGTAAAATTCAGACACCATAATATCAGAGCTAAGTCAGGACTGTCTGGTGGATTGTGATCTAGACCTGAACGGGTATGTAATGCCAAATTTCCTGTCAGTGGTTGAGCAGGCATGTCCTGGAAGCAGAAGATATTACTATATTGGGGAGTAAACACAGACAACCAGCTTCCTAGTCTGGCAAATACGTGAGACCAGCAAACAGTCCCTAAGGGGCTTTATTGCATATCCATCTCTCCTGAACTTGAAAGGAAATCATGAGGCCTGAATCTACCCTGTCCATAATAACTAATTTATTTGAGGCTTCGCCTCAGACATTTGAGTGTGGTTCCTTATACTCTATTCCATGGGGTCAGGAATGTGAAGTGCAAAGACTCATATCCTGGTAGTGGTAGTGGTGGATCCCCGAAGAATCCTTTAGCTCTACATATGGTTCTGTTTTCTACAAGTTCTGTCATTGTATCTTGTGGGTAGAATGATGTAGCACATTATAATTAAACTGGAACAAATTCAGATGTAACAACAAACCACAATTAAAGGCAACTGTTTCACATTCAGTAACACTTGATGTTCACATCTGTTGCAGAAGCTGGGTCTGTAATGATTTTGAATCAACTACTTATAGTATGCGATATTAAGCAATTACTAAACATTCAAGAGATGTAAATAAATTTAAAGATGGTGTTTAAAGATTCAAAATCAGAAGGGTGAAAATTGGAACATAAAGGTAATAAGTCCAAAAGCTGTGAGTAATCAAAGTAATAATTTATTCCGGATTACAATGTGTGTTCATAATTGCTATGTTTTCAATCTTAATGAGATGCCATGTTAATTTAGAAACATAGCTTACATTTTAAAGTGTACGTATTGTACAATCATCTGCACATTTATACAGATCTAAGTATACTGAAGACATTCACTAGTTTTAAGAAAAAAATTATGCAACACAAAAAACATGTGAAAGCATGTAGTTATGATGTTTATGACCTCTGTATATAAACTTGAAAAGCATATTTACAAAACATCTTATCTTGATGCATATTGCATCTAGTATTATAAATAAATAGCCAACTGTTGATCTATGAGAAGACAAAATTGTCCACTATAAAGCCAGTTTTCAAAGTGTAATTATGACCTCCTTAAACTTCAGAATCGGCAGAGATGGGCCCAATGAATTTCTTGGCAGATAACTCGGGTTTTTTTTTTTTTTTTTTAAGGCAATTCAGATAGCTATTTGATCTTCCACACCACTAGAACTGAAGGTCAAATTCAAAACTAATTGGAGACATGCGTTCTTTTATATGAATTTTTAATTTCCCTATTCTTGGTTTATCTATGTGTGTGCTATTGTATGCACTAAATCTACATAATCTCAATCTGTAACTCTAGTTTGATTTCATCATTGTAAATATGATCGTTTCAGGATTGTATTTTTATTATACTTGGGAGGCATCACCAGTGGAGGTAAATATATGATAGCAATCAGTTTGAAACACCCTGATCAAAGTATTCTAATATAGATTCATGCACTTTTAAGGGTGAATTCATGCATTTACACTAAGTCAAATCCCAAGTATATAAAACTGTGAATGAAATGACGTGTAAAGATACAGCAGCCTTTTCTGAATGACACATAATAATATTTTTTTCCTTTTTATAACCCTTTAATCCCTTTATCTGGGGCAGAGTTGGGGTGACTGAATGGAGCTGATCACTTACTGGCCGTATATCCTTCTGGATGCCTACAAAGAGTTTGCAGCAGATATTTTTTCTTGCACCCTGATAAGAGAAACAACTATTGGCTTCTTGCTGTTTAATTTTCTTTTGTTTACAATATTATCTAGCCATTAAGTAAAAAGTAAAAAGTCAACTGGTCTATAGCCCATTCTATTGGCAGCAGCCATTTTTTTAAATAAGCCTTGAATATTGGATATTATATCTCTTTACTTGTTTTAACAATCACATAATCTCTCAAAAGTTCACTTAGTCATATAAGGACAATCATGTGATAAGACAGAAAAATCACTTAAACTAAGGAAGCAGAAAGTTATTATCAACATTTAAAGCATTTTATGCAGATTGTATTGGTGTCAATGCAAATGGAATATTTTTTCTCAAAATATAATGTTGAAAATTCTGTATCTTGACACAATATTCTTCAAATTTATTTGATGGCGAACCTTTTAGAGACCCAGTGCCCAAACTGCAACCCAAAACCAACTTATTTATCACCGGGTGCCGGACGGGTGTGGCCGCAGTGGTCATGGCAGACTGGGTGGGCGGGGCCAGGGTGGCGGGGTCAGGACATGGCACGGGTACCCACAGAAAGGGCTCTGAGTGCCGCCTCTGGCACGCATGCCATAGGTTCGCCACCACTGAACTAAGTACTGTTCCCTACTTCTGAAAATAATAGCTGCAGTCGTGTCAACCCAGCTGTGAAAATATAAGCTAAGTGCAATACAGTTACTGCGTCTTGTAAAGTGCCTGTCTTGCTCTCAATCATATTAATTCACATTGCCAAAATATATGAACATATATTATATTTTAACATATGGACATAGTATCCCCAAACAGAGCACGTAACACATAGAGTAACAAACACTGGAAGGGTGATAAAATATTTTTTAAATGCTGGTATAACTATAAGAATAAACTACGGTTATGCTATTTACCAAAGAAACAATTTTAGAACTTGGTACTTGGTAAACGTAGAATATATGAAGTCTGTTAAAGTAGCGGTTGGCATTACATATTATTCAAGAGGCTCTTAAAATATTAGCACTCAAAGTTGGCCTTCAAACAGAACATCCTTATTCAAAGTAACATTTGAAACCACAACTATTGCAAGCATTTTGTACATAGGACATTTCTTTTCAGTACAAACTGCATTGTATTTACTGAGAAATGTGTACTTAGTTACTCTTTCTATGAAATCCAATTGTGGGAATCCAATGCATTGCTTTTAGGATTATGAAAACCTTCAGGGGAATTTGTCAAGGCCAAATGTACTGTATTTATAGACACAAGCATTCCATTGATCTTGCATGGGATCTTTTAAAAGAATCACTTTTGTAGGTCTGTAACAGTTGCATGTCACTTGAAAAAAGAACAGGGCTCTCATTTCATCTTAATTGGATAGCAAATGGCAGTCTAACATTCATCTTTCAACTTAAGAAAGCCTTCCTAGTCCAGTATTCCAATGCTTGTACATCTTCATCAATTTTTAGTTCACCTGCTGTCTTCAAAACAGGCAGCTGTTTTCTGTCTTTTTTGAGGGACAGAAGTGTTTTTTTCCTAGTGAATTTATTTTTCAAAATGAACTTTCAATGCATTTACGGCAACTTGAGGTCTATCACTGCCATCTTCTTTCTTTCTTTTGTACAATTATATAATGCACAATCCTTTGACTGCATGTATTCAGATAGTCACATAAAAGGAAAAAGAAAGGAGAAATGACAGCTTTTGCTCTCTTGCAAAAAGCAAGTGGCTTTTGATGAAGAAGGACTAGAAAAGGAGGACAGAAACAAAGGAGAATGGCATGAAGCCAATTGTCATTTATCTTCTTGGTTTCTTTACAGTGATCATTGAATCACACAACATTTATCTGAAGATGTGCGGCCCAAAATGAGCACGGGGAACGGCTAGAAGGCATACTAATGGCAACAATGCCAGGAAGGAGAAGATTGACAAGGATGGGAGGGAAAAAGTTGTGGAATTGGAATGCAAACAAGGGGAGGCGGGACAATTAAGGCAATTAAGGTTAGTCAGGACGAATGGCCCTATCACATGGTCAATGAGTAAGAAACTAGGTTAGCAAGGCTTATAAGAGAACTCCCCACCCCCAACACTTCACTCTGAAGATGCTGACAGTGGATCAGCAAAAGCTAAGTTTGTTTTAGTATTGTAAATAGTTGTTTTTATTGTTTTAAACTTTTCAGCAATAAACAGTTGATTTATATTCCTCCCAGAGTTTGAGGATTGTATATTATTGAATATATATATGAGGTTTTCGTGGGTGTTTGTATGTAGGTCTTTGGTTATTCGGGTTTTCTCCCGCGTAAAATTGGAAGTGTCTTGGCGACGTTTCGACGAAGTCCCATTCGTCATCTTCAGGCTGGTGTTTTCAGCTTCGTGCTTCTAGGAAATATATATATATATCTCCAGACCAATTCATGCTTAACACCAAGCCATAGCAGAATTGCTTTTAATTAGTTTATAATTTTACTGAATGTGAACCGCTAGTTCAGAATAACACTTTTTTAGCTTCATACAATGTGTAATTTCAGTCAGAAAGTTCTTTCATTCAGATGAAAGTAGGGAGTAAGCTATATGTCTGTCTCTTGAACTTCAGCTCTGACAAGGAATTGGATATTTAGGCTGCTTTGACTTCATTAGTCACAATGCACATTAAAAAAGGGTGAAGGTTTTTATTACATGATTGTGTACCATGCTGACTTTTTTTTTTTGACTCTCTTCTTGTGGACAGTCCTGGACTTAATCAGCTACACATAATTAAGAACAAGGGGAAGAGATGGTGATAGTTTATAGTAGAAATAGCTAACGTAATTAATATTTCTTAATATTATTTAATTGTTTAAATGAACCTTTCCAGCTTTTAACAAGTCAGTCTCCATTTATTAAATGCACAGGTAAAGATTGGATTGGATTTACAAGATCTCTTGGTAGACATTTCCATGACTCATATCAAATATATTTACTTCCTCCTTATTTTCTGCTTCATTACGTGATGCAACAACTGTAAGAATTCTCATCAATGAGCATACTGCAGTGGTGGGATTAAGCCAGTTCACACCAGTTCAGCTAATTTTTTGTTGCCCAGGCCCAGAATGGACTTCTGGAAGTGGCATCCACACAGAGAACCAGCTCTTCACATATTTGAATCCGCCCACTGGCATGCTAATTGTGCAATTCTGGGATTTGAAGTCCATACACCTGGAAATAGCCAATCTGTCAGCTTATGAAAATTTATTGCGCTATTGATCACCATTTCATGACAAGAACAAAAATAGTGTAATTTCCAGTGACAGAATAATGAAAAATTTAAAGAGAAAAATGCATTGCTGTTGCTAAAGCTTGTTTTCTGAAACAACACAAAATACTATATACATCATTTAAGTTTAAGAACTCTTGGTATATCTGCAATTCTTTCATCAAACGATTAGAAGTTCCCAAAATCTAATGCAGTGAATGAATATCCATATCATCATTTCATCAGCATGGGTAGTACTGGCAATTAAACTAGTTTAAAATCTGTCTAGAAATCCTGTTATGATCCAGGATTATCTAGTAAACTGTGAGGGTGTCATCTTTTCTACTGATATAGAAGGAATATTTTCATTTATACATGAGGAATCTGGTCCTATATATACCATTCCTGTTTCAGGCCTAATTCCATCTCATGAAAACTTAAAATTGAAACCTGAACACTTATTTATTCATTAAATTTATGGGCCACCCATCTCGTGTTCAAACGTGACTTGTCCATCGATCAAGATCAATCAGTTTTCCATATTTAAAGAAATTGCGGTAATCTCCTTCTATATATTTATCTTGGAAGAGGATTAAATTCATTCAACATTTAATATTTATTAAAATTGAAAAAAATTGTGTCTATTATGAACAGGGAAGCCCCCTAGTACTGATATAAAGTTTATACGGACCTCTCATTCTACCTTCATCCCCCCTAGTTTAAGATAAATCAGATTTCAAATATCAGAACAAATATTGTGGGGCCATGGAGTCACTTGTCAAACGCACAGCAATCTAAATGTATTCTGTAACTGATAAAGCTGGTTGTTATCAGATTTAGGGAACGTCTGTGCTAGTAATAATTTGATACCCATAGGCCAGAGCAACACTTTCTGGTTTCTTGGCAAGACCATTTATAAATCTATTTTCTCAGAGATCATTTTTCTGCAGTCAAAGGACCTACGGAGTTGGATAAAGAAATAATCAGCCTCAAGGAAATAAAACATTTTTCTCCAAGAAACTGCCATAGGTTTGTTTTTCTTTTTTGCTGTTGGATAAAATAGATGCTGATCTCTAGCAACTTTTCCAAACTACCAAATTTATAATATTTTAATTCCTTAGCCAGTATATATTTGGAGGACATTATTTTAAACTAGGAGCAGATTAGTAATACAGCTAATATAAATTCCCACTCACTGATAATTGATCCTGCAGAGTTTTTTTAACACGTTTATTTTTCTTTTATCATCAAAAATAAAATAGAAAATAGAAAAGAAGAAGAAAAAACAGATTAATTTTTATGTTTAATGTTAGATCTATTTGATATTTAGTTTTTTGGGGTTTTTTTTTGTACACTAGATCTTTTTTCGGTATTAGCATTGGATGTTTCTTAATCTACATTATTTGTTTACAGAGAAATGCACATGTAGTTGTGTATGCATGTATGTATCTATAGCATACAATTTCAAGTGTCTTATTTCAGCTATCTTTACAACTAAGCTGGTAGACCAGATGTAGCTGTGGTAATAATACAATTTTACTAAATATTTTTTAAAAATGAAAATGAATACAAACTGATACAAAGTAAGCTAAAAGAAAAAAAGAAATAAGTTGAAGAAAAAGCTAAACTACAAGAAAGGGGATAAATGTAAAACAAAAATAGAAAAGAAAGAAAAAAAACATACGAAGAAGTAGCTTCCAATCTTCTTTACAACAGTTACAAGTACAATTATCAATTCACCTCTTCTGTATGATTACAACATAACTGTCCTCTTTCTGTAATCCATTCTGTCTAATCATTCAAGCCATAAATAATAAGTTCATTTTTTTTGTTTCACACAATAAAATTCTATAAAGGTTCCAGTTAACAACAAACATAAATATTTTCCCTGATCCAAGACGTCAATTTAGCTATCTTGCAAGTTCCATCATCTTCGCCAAGCATCACTCCATTGGGGTAATGCTATATCTTTCCATTTTTATGCATACAATAATCTTACTGCAATTACACTGTACAACAACAACAACAACAACATTCCATAAGTTTTGTCCATCAATCCCCCTCAAAAAAAACCCCTCTGGTTTCATTTGTATATTAATCTTGAAAATCCTCTGAATCAGTGTATGGGTCTGGATCCAGAATTTTCTAGCTTTTTTACACGCCCACTAAACATGATAAAATGTCCCCTTTTGTTGTTCATGCTTCCAACATAAATTTGAAGTATAGATAGGTGTGTGTGTGTGTGTGTGTGTGTGTGTGTGTGTGTGAGAGAGAGAGAGAGAGAGAGAGAGAGAGAGAGAGAGAGATTTCAACAGTACATATACATGGCACATCATTTTATAAAATTCTTTTTAAGATTATAACATAAGATAAATTTCAAACCTTTCAGCCACATATTTCCCCATTATTCCATCTGTGTATTATACCCAACATTTTTGCCCACTTTGTCATAATTCTCTCACTTGTTTTCTTCTGTTTCAAATTTTCATAAACACTTCTATGTTTTGATAATTGCTTTACTAAACTAATTTGTGTGCAATTCTGTTTCAGACTCAGTCTTATAATGCGCAAAACTATCACTTCTTTTGTCTACTTGAAATCTTTCTTAATCACTGTAAAGAAAAGAACCACTGACAATTATATCCCTGTGCCACCAGTTCTTTGCTTGATTTAGTTTACAGCTCCCCTGACAAAATTCTAGTAATCTCACAATAAGTTAGCCTTATTTGTGTTCACCTATTATTTCTCGTCTGTAAAATGCGTCTTATGTTGAGAGCCACAAAGCTGTTTGCAGGCACAATCTGGGTTTGTAAACTAGTATAATTATTGAGATGGGCTGATGTCACATGCAGCATGATGTCATTTCATGAAGGATACAGATCATGTTCCTTCACTTGCATGATGATATCATGAAGCACATGACATATTTAGTTTTCTTTGCCCATTCCATTCCACCCAGCTCCTCCACCTCATGCCCCACCCAACCTTTGCAAACACCCATGGAGCTAAAGCTGAGAGGCAGCTTGTTGCCTAAGATCACGAGGGAATTTCTAGCTATTCACAACTCCTATTTGTAAACTGTCAATGCTTCACTGCACCAGCTTTCAGGAGAATCCATTTGTTTTTAACCTACAGCAATTTCAAATTGGAACATTCAAAGGCTATGAAAAAGATTCACAAGCTAGCAAATTCAAACAAAATGAAAGAAAACCTGCATTCGAAACCCATCCTTGCCAAATGCACCATTTTTAAAGTTCCTACTTTAAACAATATTACAATATTAATATATGTTAGCAACCGGCATGGAGAAGACATTCCAGGGAACATCTTATCATGACAATAGCAGAGTCATTCTGTGTTTGCAGGGAAAAGAGAGACCATCTTCTCTTAACCATTACACATCACACATAATTTTACACCATTTTTTTTCCTAACAGCATGTTTTTCAATGCAGTAGTTTTGAAAGCAGCCATCACAAAATCAAGGTCAACCTCTGTTGCTGAGCTGAGCAGGCATCTGATCGTCTCACCGTACTTTCAACAACTGACTCTGGAAACACCAGAAATATCATGCTGACTGTAAGCAAAGATACCAATCTCAAGCACAAATTAGTACTGTCTTCAAATGGCACTCTTTCCTGGAAATGCCAATGGCCACTGAAGACTGAAAGAAAGCAGGGGAAGAAGAGAGTAGCTCAGCACTACTGGGATGTAAATCCTGCAGCTCAAGTGGTTGTTGGTCCACTTAGTAAAAACCTCAAGTCATCTCGGGGAGTAGGAGAGGAAGGTGAAGCCTCAGAACCACTCATCTGGGTTTCCAAACATCACAAAAGCAGTGATTACACAGCAGCTTCTCCTGCAAAAGAAACAGAATAAGCCGCAGGTTAAATCCACAATATATACTTCCAAAAGCATTACAGACGCATCAAAAGGTTACACTGAATCATAGTTTAGTGTTGAATCTTTACAGGGTGTGGTTTAAAAAAAACAAAGGCAAGATAGCAGCCATAACTATGATCATTGTTAAGTCCAGTGCAATGTATTTTGCAAATCAGAATAAAATAGTGCAATAATATTTTGGGCATTCCCTGAACAGAGCTGATTAATCTGATAGGTGACCATCTACTACTATACTTCACCCTCTACCACACTTGAGAGCAGTAGACTAATTTAAGATGTAGCACAGAGGTCCCCAAACTTTTGGGCACCAGGGACCGGTTCCGTGGAGAGAGGTTTTTCGATGGACCGGACAGTGGGTGGTTTTGTATGCTGCCTGCATCCCGCGGATGGAGCTTTGCTTGTTTGTGCTGACCAATTGCGGGCATGCTGTGGCCCGGTACTGGTCCACAGACCAGGGATTGGGGACCCCTGATGTAGCACAAATACTGCTGTACACTTAATCTTGTCTTTCAATATCTTGTCTTGCTTTCTGCTTCTCAGCATTTTCCATCTGAGAGAATCACTGCTCCCTTCTTTATAGCTGGAGACTTCTGCCTTGATATAAACACCATAATTCTGTTATTGGGAATTGGGAAGTGGAGCATGGGGAATGCGATATTGGAACTCTAGTGGAAAAACGTTATGTGACATCTGGGAGCCATCTCAGTGGTAGAAGAAAGACCAGTCAAAGTCTAAACGGTGAGAAAAGAAAAATATGTTTCATGGATGTCTACGGAGATTCTCAGTCATACAGGTCATAGTTATCCCAAAGATGCTTTTTCACAAGGCAATTGGACTTCCTTGTTTTTCTTTCCTTTGCTATTGACTGTGAGTGCTTACCTAGATAAGTCTCTGGAGTTTTACTGGCAAGATTTTCAGAAGTGGTTTTCCTTCCTAGCAGCCCCGAGAGAGAGTGATTAGCCCAGTGGTTCTCAACCTTGGGTCGGGACCCCATTTGGGATCGAACGACCATTTCACGGGGGTCGCCAAACAACGCAGTCCGCCATTTTTTTCCCCTTTTCCTTAACTGTGCTACTCCCTTTTATTCTATTGGCTTTTGAAAGCCAATAGAATAGACTCTCTTGAATAGAGTCTAATTCTATTGGCTTTCAAAAGCCAATAGGAATTGTCCAGGCTGTCTCTGCCCCGCTGAGCCCGCCAAAAGTCCCATTCTGCAAACGGTGTTGCACCAGTTGAGTAGTCCTTGACTTACGACCGGTTGGGGGTCGCGGCATTAAAAAGGTTGAGAACCACTGGATTAGCCAAAGGTCACCCAAGTGGCTTTGTGCCAAGGTGGGACTTGAATCCACCATCTTTCAGTGCCTAGCCTGATGCCTTAATCACAGCACCAAACTGGCTCTATAATAATCCATTTGGTGGATTGTATCATTGTAAAAAGCAAGGACAGTTTGCTTTTTGTATGAAACCATGCACATTGCAAATTAGCTTAAGAGTAAAGCAAACTACATGGTTTCTTCTTTCCTGGGATATTTTCTTTCCTCTTTTTAATAAAAGAATGTCAATTCCAATGTTGAATGCCACAGTCCAGGAAAAGCTGCTTGGTCACCATTTAAAAAGGAACACTATTTGAATTACAGTCTGACAGGTTTCTTTTTCACATTGTTGCATGTTACCCATTTTAGTGACCAAAGAAATAATGTCCCAAAGCGAAATCAAGTCCTGGCTTCATTTCTTTTGAGTGACGGAGTATTTGAAATTTACAATGTCCTGCACAAGCTGTTCAGGGGTGCTAAAGACCTGCATTGTCATGTTTAGTCTGAGCAAGCCTGTTGATTGTGATCTTTATCCTGGTTTAAATAACTGAAAGCATCTTTGTACCACTTTATACAAGCAGAACACTAGCAATGCATGCAAGAGGTATTATTTCCCAGAAGGAGATGATTCCACAGATTTTTTTTTTCTACCAGTTGTTCTTCCTTATAATTGAGTAATGATATAGAGTGAGGGATATAGACCAGTGATGGCGAACCTTTTAGAGACCGAGTGCCCGAACTGCAACCCAAAACCCACTTATGCATCATCGAATGCTGAGTGGGTGTGACCCATTGGCTGGGCGTGGCCGATTGACTGGGTGTGGCTGCGGTGGTAATGGCAGACTGGGTGGGTCTATAAAGTTCAATCAATCAATTCCAACTTTGCAAGATCTTTTTTTTCCCCGCGAGAAGTTGAAATTGACTGATTGAACCTCTTTTTTTTTTTTTTTGCATACAGCGGCAGAGGCCTAAAGTGAAAAGGTTTTGTAAAACTCAGCTGAAGGTCTAGGACTGGGGCGATGGTGCAGGTGCCCACAGAGAGGACTCTGAGTGCCGCCTCTGGCACCTGTGCCATAGGTTCGCTACCACTGATATAGGCTATTTACACTGTCCCTGCCATCACATTTTTACTAGTCCTTGACCTGTGTGTATGTTGGAGGAAAAGATGGAAGGGAGCCAGGGCTTCTGCCTAGTTTAAAATCTGAATGGTCAGAATCCAAAATTGCATATGGAAACTCTTAGTCTTACAAGGGGCAAAATGTTTGTGTGGTTTTTCATAAACAGGCACCCAGACATTCACTTTTGCTAGAAGCTGATCACTTTCCTCAAGCTCTATCAATATTTCAATATGAAAGGGTTGTGCGGGAAGGACGTATCCTCTGTCTTATTCCACTGAGGGCAGCAGTTTCATCAGCCAAAAAAACTGCATTAGATTTTGCCCTATATATTCTTTTACAAAGAAAGCCTAGTCCTAAAACGTCCTCTGATGTGATGGTCTTTTAAAAACCATGAATGAATTAGCAGTCAACATCACCAAGCAAAACAAAGGAGACATTGAGTGCGTATTATATTACAACATTTCTGTTTAATTTTGCTCTCTGCCTGCCAAGAGACCTGTGTGTTCTGCCTAATGCTGGAATCAGATCTGAGCAACTGCTAGTTTTTGCATTTTTCCCTAAAACACATGCAAGCGAGTTACTATTGTTTCTTTGTTCCAACACTTCTGTGTGTGAGTTGAAATCTCTTTTGCACTCTTTACAATCTAATCTAAACTAGATCATATCTAATTAAATCAGAGTAATTTGCTTTGGCCAATTCATCGTGGACTCAGCAGTTAACAACAATAAGAAGCTTCAGTATTTTACTTGTCCCAGGAGATATTTTAACCTCTGGCGTCATTTGGCTTTTCTTCCCCAGTACAAGAAAATGCCTTTAGACTTACAGTTGTTTTGGTTGTACTTCATTGTGGGATCAGGATTTAAATATGCTGCTTCACTAAGCTAAGTTGCATTTACACAAAATAACACCGGATGGCTAGAGACTATTGACGCAGCTCTCCAACCCCAATATGGATTTGCAAAGATGATTCTCTCTGCAGGAACCTAGACCCATGATTCCCATATACCCCAAAGAAAATTTGGCATAGTGTCCAAATAGGAGGGCAATAGGAAGGGGAAAAAGTCAACAACGTAGCAATCCTCAACAACAGCTAAGAAGCAAAGTACTTCAGCTGCAGCATCTGGCAGGACTTAGGTAAATCATGGATTCTTCCTCATTTCAGTTAGTTCCATTCAAGCAGCACCAAAGATCAAGGTCTGGTAAAAATAAGACTTCTTTGCCTTATTCCTGTCTGGATCAAGCAATCATGGTTCTTCCCACAAATTTGACTCAATACACGTCTGAGGCGGTTAGGAACAATGTGGTTTTGGTGGCTTAGACATAGAAACATGCAGTGCAACTTACAGGAACCCACTGTGAACGAGGAGCCTTGAAACTGCAGAGGCGTCTTTACAAAGAAATACTTGAATGACAAACCATTCAATTACATTTGTAGTTCCACAAGGCGGACTCATATTACCGCATAGCCTGTTCAGAATTAGCCTCTGAATGAAAAGTGGCTTGTCTTCTTCCCCCCCCCTCTCATAGTTAATATTCAAGGTATTTAAAAACAATAAGCAGTTCTGAAAAAGAGGGAATTCTCAGCCTTGGCAGAACTGTGCCTTTGAACTAGTTCCGAGGTGCTTTAAAAGAATATATTTTTTGTATTAATTTATCAAATATTTGTTTAAAAAAAAACAGACATTTTGCACCTCAGCTGTCCTTCAACTGTACTGGAACTGCAGTTCCCTGGATTTCCAGCCAGAGGTCCATCAACCACGCTGGCTGGGAATTCTGGGAGTTATGGTCCCAAGGCTTCTTGGCAGTGTAGAGCTGCTAATGGAATCTCTCTGGTAATGGAAAGGGGAAAAGTTCTCATAGGGAAGTCACTCAAATTTAAGCTCCTGATTTTAGACATGGACTGCTTGGCATTTTAGCTATGAGTCTAGGGCACAGGTCGGCAACCTGCGGCTCCGGAGCCGTATGCGGCTCTTTGAGCCTTCCCCTGTGGCTGGGACCCAGCCTCCTCTGCCTTTGCAGAGAGAGACAGAGACAGAGAGAGGCAATTGCGTTTCCCTGCTTCTCTCTCTCTCTCTCTCTCTCTCTCTCTCTCTCTGTGTGTTTGTGTGTGTGGGGGGGGGGGCAGGAGAGAGCTAGCTAGCCCAGCTAGGCTGGCTCAGGAATTCTGGGAGTTGAAGTCCATGAGTCATAAAAGAGACGAGGTTTTCTATCCCTGAGCTTGTTGGACAACAGCTTGAAGCTTGCCAGGTGAGCAGCAGATAGGGGAGGGGGGAGAAAGAGAGAGAGAGAAAGAGAGAGAGAGAGAGAGAGAGAGAGAGAGAGAGAGAGTAGGGGAAGAGGAGTGGTAGACCAAGGGCAGATAGAGAGGGAGGGAGGGAGAGAGACAGAGAGAGAGAGACCCTTTTGACATCTAAAATGAAGATAACACTGCATATATCCTTTTTTTACCTGTGTGTGTATGTAATTTTATTCTCTTAAAGCATTCTCTTGGTGATCATTGTTTTAATAGTATGGATATTCCCAAGAGTCATATTTTTACTTTTATTTTTAATATGTGTGTGTGTGTGTGTACACACACACACACACACACACACACACACACCTATAATAAAGGTAAAAAAGGATTTATGCAGTGTTATCTTCATTTTAGATATCAAAAGGGTTTTGCGGCTCCCGGTGTTTTGTTTTTGGTGGGAAACGGGTCCAAGTGGCTCTTTGAGTGTTTTGGGTTGCCTACCCCTGGTCTAGAGGTAGTCTTTGTGAGGGAGATCCCATCACAAGCACGTATATAGAGAGATGAGACTATTTTTAAAGCTTACACTACAAATATTAGAAAAGTTTGCTGTTTCAGAGTAAAAAAAAAAAATCCAAGCTACTACTTATAGAGACTATTTGGCTTAATATACAGTGTTGCAGGGTAATACAAAAGGAGAAAGTGATCTGTGATAATGCAGATTCCAAAGAATTTGAACTTTTCTTGAACAGTAAGATTTGAGACCTTAGGATTTCCATAGTGTTCCTGAAAATAGGTGGGCAGTATCTACTGAGATCTCAAATCGCTGAGTAGGATTTCCTGCTTAGGTTTTTCAACACCCAGCCCAACCCACAAGTAGCTAGGGGCACGCGAAAAAAACAAAATGATGCGCATAAAAGTCCCACAGATTTGTAATATGCTTATATATTATATAATTCAACTTGTGGCAGTATTTGGGACAAATTTCACCCCCCCACCCCTTATGCAGAGAATGTGTGACTCTGTTCAAAATCAAACGTGTGCCTTTTCTTGTAAGTAAGCCTCCTTGTGTTCCATCAGTCTTGTTTGTAAACATACGTGTTCATAAGAACAACTCTAACCTTAGCATCACGAATCATTTAGCAATGTTAAGAGAAGGCTGATCTAATGCCGTGTCCTTCTGGTATTTACCGAAAGCCAGTGCACATGCGGGAGCGTGGGAAAATGATGCTAGATAATTGCAGTTAGTGGATTCAGTTTGCAACTGTTCATTACGTAGCTCTAATGTTTCTTTTGGCTGCTGTGATGGCAGGAAGGAATTGCTTAGATTTACCATGCTGCCATAACTGGCAGTGGGAGTATCTGAGATGACCTCCACGTGGTGGCCACAAAATATGTGCTTGCCAGTAATACATACATAGATAAATATAAACTTAATACCAACCTTTCAGTTCTGAGAGATGTTATGGAACCCCAGGTGCTTAAGATTGAGAAGAACGTTTGCTCTTCTTCTACAAGAACAAGAAAGATAAAATAAATCACAAGACCTGTCATATAATAATACGTTTCAAACAGCAATTGCCAGTGTGTTCTTATTGCTTTCAGTTGAGCTGGGGAAAATGCAAATACTATAACAGATTGGGTGTATTTATTGAGGTACTGACTATCTTTATATAGCGAGAAATCAATACATTTGCATCTATCCGCTATACAAATAATATCTTGAACCGGGAGATCAAATGGATGTGACATTTTACAAATGCACAATTATCTCAGTCCTTCCTCTTGAAAAAAAGAAAAGTGATCAGGTAGGCAAAGAATCTGCATGCAAATGGCCTTTCTAAAGAAGTACAGGGAAGTTTAAGAAGTATGTAAAAAGTCTGAAATTGTATAGGCTTTACTGCTTGTGCAGGGGGTTGGACTAGAAGACCTCCAAGATCCCTTACAACTCTGTTATTCTGTTACAGGCAAGATAATTAACCAGATTATCTGACCATATGACCATTATCTGCATTCATATTTCAAATTACATACCTGCAAGTACCCTCTGAACATCTTTTGCAAGAAATTGTTCACAATCATAATTTACATGACCAAAGATGGTAACACCATTTTAGTGGGAGCCTGACAATGAATATCTTCAATAGCGTCTCCCACCCATCCCCAACCCCCCCCCCCCGCAATAATCTGGTCATCGAATAGTAGAAATGAATAGGAGACTAATTTATAACAATCAGCCTAATGAATAAGCACTTCGTCCTACAAAGAGATTAAGAGATAAATGCAAATAACAATTTTGATCCGATCTACAGACCTTAGCTTCCAATTTGCAATGGAGGATTTGACTGGACAACCAAGGATGTTTTAAAGCTGCACCTGCACTAATTCTCCAGCTAAACGGGAAAGAACAAGGTTATTGGGTGACATGTATACAGGAACTTTTAATATCAGAAATATTTAAGTCTGATATTTGTATGTTTGTGTTTTAAGATGAGGGTCTGATGAAGCAACAGACAGCTTCAGCTTGAGATTTGAATGTGAAAAAAAAAGCAAAATCATACTTTCAGAAATGGTGTTCTTAAGCTTATCACTTATGGCAAAAGTACAGGTTCATTATTCAAGTTCTTCATTAGTAAGCTGGCCAATTTCATTCTGCATGAAAACTAAACATACAAGTCTTCATTTCAGGATATGTATGTAATTTAAAGTGTGCATCTAGGCCAGGGGTCTTCAAACTTGGCCCTTTTATGACTTGTGGACTTCAACTCCCAGAATCCCTCAACCAGGGTGTCTGGCTGAGGAATTCTGGGAGTTGAAGTCCACAAGTCATAAAGGGCCAAGTTTGAAGACCCCTGATCTAGGCTAATTTTCATCCATACAAATTTTCACCATATTCTGGTTCCTATACAATCCCATTTGGGTCCAGAATTTCCATTGCTAAGTAAGACGGTTGTTAAATGAGACATGCCTAATTTCACAACCTTTTTTGCTAAGTGAATCACAGAGTCGTTAAGCGAATCCGGGTTCCCCCATTGACTTTGCTTGTCAGAGGTCAACTGGGAAGAATGCAACTCGCAATCACATGACCCCAGGATGCTGTAACCATTGTAAATGCATGGCAAATGCCTGAATTTTGATCCATGACTCTGGGAATGCAGCGACAGTTGCAAGTCTAAGGATCAGTTGTAAGTCACTTTTTTTCAGTGCCGTTATAACTTCAAATGGACACTAAGCAACTGGTTGTAAGTTAAGGACTACCTGTACATCCCTAATGAGTAATTTGTGCAATTTCTTTTCCCTAGAACTTTGCAGCTTTTATGGTGTTCCTATTGGGCCAGTTCAATCACCTTCATGACTAACATGGTTATCCACCAAGCCTTCAGGATTATTACTAAAAAAAAATAACTGAGTAATACTATGTAACTAGTATCTAGCTATTAATATGCGCCTTATACTAACCTATTAATAAAATGCAGCTTTCATTTTTGGCATATCATGAATTTGTTTTATTTCTTGAACATTTTAGTAGTAATGTAATTCTGTCAAACATGATTATTATTTTTGTGTATGAGCGTGTAGCAATGCAACTGAGCAGAGAACGTATTAAAAGCAAAACATTATAGGTGTGTAATTACCATTTTTCTTTAATAAGAAGCTTAGAGATGAAATCTTTGGCTTCTTCAGACACATTTTCAAATTCTTCATCTTCGAAGTCCCACCTACAAGCTAGGATGTTATTCAAAGTCTCATTATCATCATTACCCAGAAAAGGAGATAATCCAGTAATCCTATAGGAAGAGAAAAAACAACAACAACCCATGGTCATTAAACATAACATAACATTTTAAAACTGCCCATCTCCCTCAGAGAAGGATCCTGGACGGTATACAATAAAAATGTTGAAATATAAAAACATAAGTGTTATGTCCTGAGCCTGTGAAAGCTGCCCGGGACCAGACTGGCTGTTGCCAGCACTCGCGCGCATGCGCAGAGTGCAAGCGCACCAAATGTTGCAGTTTGGCCCGGGGATCGCCTATAAAAGGGGCAGAGAGACTTGGGCGTTGTCGGCCTCTTGTAACCAGTATGCTGAACAGAAATAAAGAGGTTCCTGAGAACTACAACTGCTTCTCGCGTCATTGCCATTTCGCTGAGGACTTAACAATAAGCATATAAGAATTATTTTTTTAAAAGGAATAGAATCTAAAAGGAGGCAAGGTTGATTGAACTCTGTTTAAGAAAAGTAGATAAAAGGTGAAGGGAGTGTTCTTAGAGTGCCAACCAGCCCCACAGCTGCGGTACCTTTCTGGGTTCCCCACGTGAGGCTTCAGAGCCATGTTTTAACTCCTTTTCGGAAGGCCAGGAAAAGGGGGAGGCCTGTCTCACATGTGTGTGTGTGTGTGTGTGTGTGTGTGTGTGTGTGTGTGTGAATATTCCACAAGGAGGGGGCGACAGCAGAGAAAGTTGTCTTCCTGGACCCTGTCAGTCAGAATAATTTAACTGATGGGGTCTGCAACATGCTTTCCCTATGTGACAGGGTTTCAGGAATCTTCTCCAACATTCAAAAGCGTAATTCTACACTGCTTCTGCTTCTAGCTTTTTGCTTCTTATAAAGCAGGGGTGTCAAACTGCCAGCCTGCGGGCTAGTTGCATCATGCGGAGGCCGTGCCCACCCCCAGCTCACAAAAAAAGTCATGATACGTCACGACACGTCATGTGACATGGCGAGTTTGACACCCATGTTAAAAAGTGTCACAGGGAATGTGATAGCTTGCGTGATTATGATGTTTGTAAGTATAGACATATTATGGCATCTGAACATGTTTTCCAATGTCTTCATTCCTATTCCATCAAATGCTAGTTTGCAGTGTATTTCTTGATTGTTGATTTATTTTACGGCTGATAGTAGATGCTAAAAAATCATAAACTATCACTGTATCTTCATTTCAATTCTAACCCTGTGCAGTCTCGGCTGTCATTAGTTTGTTCTTCTTTCTATTTAATCTTAGTCGCGTTTTTTTCACTGTGCTCCTTGCCTTTCATTACTAGAGGCTGCAGGTCTTTTGCATTTTCAGCTGTCACAGTAATGTCATCAGCACAGTGCTAAAGGCTGTGATGTTAGGATTTCTGGCTTCAATATCGCCAATTTTTTTTCTCTGTTCTGCTCTTTACAATCAAACTTCATAAGCTAAAATCTTTGTATACTGTTTTGTGATATTTGAGTTAGTCCAAGAAGTTCACCATGATTTTTGGAACTTCATGAACATGACACAAAACGAAACCTAAGAATATTCCAGATGAGAATTAGATAGATAGATAGATAGATAGATAGATAGATAGATAGATAGATAGATAGATAGATAGATAGATAGATAGATAGATAGATATTTAGATTAGATAGATAACCTTTATTGTCATTTTTTACTGTGGGCACAATGGCACACTTTAAAAATGAAATTTAGTTGCTTGCTCTCAATGTGTAAACATACATAACACACATTTAAACATACTATATACAACATATGTCTAGATCTATACCCTTCATATAAGTAACATATAAATATTAATCACTATCCAGCTTGAATACATAATGGGAGGAGGAAGCTTTAGAGTTCACAAGGTTAATACTATATGGAACAAAGCTGTGACTGAATCTGGATGTTCTGCTTCGGATACAAAGGAAGCCTCCTCCCAGAAGGTAACAAGGTTGTAAAGAGGATGTGTAGTGTCCCAGACAATCTTACAGACGCTTATATGCTATGTCCTGGATGGAAGGGAGGGAACTGCCAATAATCTTTTCAACCATCCTCACCACTCTCTGCACCGCCTTCCTATCTGAAGCGGTGATGCTTCCAAACCAGACTGTAATGCAATATGACAGGATGCTCTCAATTATCCCTCTGTAGAAAGTGGTAAGGACAGGGAAAGGAAGACTACTGCAACGCGCTCTACATGGGGCTACCCTTGAAAAGTATTCGGAGACTACAGTTGGTCCAGAATGCAGCCGTGCGAGTGATAGTGGGTACTCCTTGGTACACCCACGTTACACCTATCCTCCGTGAGCTGCACTGGTTGCCTATTGGTCTCCAGGTCCAATTCAAGGTGTTGGTTATTACCTTTAAAGCTCTATATGGCTCAGGGCCAGGCTATTTGCGAGACTGCCTACTACCTCATAGTTCCCTTTGTCCGGTTAGATCCCACAGGCTGGGCCTCCTTCAGGTCCCGTCGGCCAAGCAGTGCCATTTGGCGGGGCCGCGGGGGCGGGCTTTCGCTGTGATGGCGCCCACGTCTTGGAACCAGCTCCTCCTGGAGATTAGGACCGCTTCCACCCTGTCGGGTTTCCGCAAACTGCTTAAGACCTGGCTTTTCCGGCAGGCCTGGGGTTTATAAAATCAGACTCCTGGATGAATGTTATTGTATTGTTTGTTTTGTTAAGTTATGTTGTATTTTTATTGCTAGCCGCCCGGAGTCCTGCGGGAGTGGAGCGGTCTATAAAATTTAATAAATATATAATATAAAATATAATATGTGTTTTTCTCATCAGTCACAAAGTATTATGCCATCAATCTTTTCTACTTAACAGATTCTCTAATATGGGAAATAATGGAAGGTGTTCTCAGAACATCTTACCCTCCCTGCTGGAGTAAGGTCATCTCCAACCTTATTTACTTTCCATAAGGGCTTAAGGTCCTGGCTCTTCCAGTTGGCTTGGGGCTCCAACAGAGGGGTTTCCCCCTTCTCTTCTTATCATACTCCCTCCGTCCCCATCTTTTTAGCTAGCTTGATTTTTTTTATAGTATTGTACTTATATTATTTGATTTTATAAAGTTTTATCTTTTAGCATTGTAAGCTGCCTAGAGTTACAGTGTGTTAAGATTTATTTTAAAAACAAATAAGGAAAATTGCCATTATCGTTATCTGCCTTCATCCAATAAAATTCAATGTCCCAATAAAATTATGTGACTGCACAATAAAAAAATTCATCTGGAAGCACTCACAAGCCTAATATTTAGAATTTAGTTCAACTTACAACATGTAGGTCATGACACCAATGCTCCACATATCAGTAGGAAAAGAAACAAAATCATAGTTCACAACTTCAGGAGCAAGAAATTCTGGAGTGCCAAAGTTGATCTTAAGTTTTTCCCTTGGTTGGTATCTAAGAAACAAAACAGAAAAAAAAATCCATGGGAAAAAGTAGCAGCAAACATGACATTTATAGCACATGATAATACTTCAACAATTTTGAAAAGGTCTAGAAACTTCGCTTCACCCAGGGTTCTTTGTAACTGCGAGCGAAACATGTTCTCAACAACCTTCCCTCAAAGGAGAAGGTGGGAGACTGGACAAAAGTTCTCCAATGCTGTTGGGTCTAAGGATGGCCTCTTGAGAAGGGCTTACGATTTAACTTATGATGTTAAATAAGTGCCATTTGAAAGTGCTGAAGGCTTTCAGAATGAAAGGCTCACTTGGATGACTTTTACCCATCATTTTGGCCTCATTAGAACATGTCACTGTTTATTGTACCAGCCTCCTTCTCCCTCCACTAAGAACAAAATTCACTGGCTAATTCTTTGCTGTTTAAAAAAATGACAGAAGAAACATACAGAACGTTTCTGTGAAGATTTCAGGTGCCAAGTCCTGCAATATCTAAACTAGAGCAATGTTATCCAAGGTCAGCCCTCTTCTATTAGACTAAAGACACTTCCCTTCTTATTTAACCTTGTTTATCCCCAAAACATGACATCCAACTGAAATAGATTTCAATTTGAGAAAATGAGAGCTGCTGACTATTTGATTAAAACAACATACCTTCTTGCCAGCCCAAAGTCAATAATCTTTATTTGAAGTGCCTTTCGATTCACACACAAGATATTCTCAGGCTGTCAGAAGAAATAAAAGTGCACATTTATGAGAAATGGTGAATGAAATGCTCTAGGATCAGTGTTAAAAATACACCAGAGCATAAACATATGCATCTGAATGCTGGTGTTTTATAGCAGGTTAGGCTTTGTGGATAAATCAAACTATAATCATGTGGTATTTGAGGCTGGGAACACTCCACCAGGGCAGCAATTCCCTTGCGGTGGAATTTCTCTTTGACAGAATACAGAAATTTGAGATAAAAAATTCATTAGTGAGCTTTCAGAAAGGAAATGAAAGCACTTTGGCTGGTTTCAGGAAGTCAGGGACTGTAATTTGCAGCCCATTGTGTGCTGATATTGGGGTATTTCAGAAAACATTGCTTTTAACACTTTTCTGTGCAGTTGAACTTCTTAGTTTATTCTTCAACAAACCAATATCTGACGGATTAACACCAGGTAAACTTGTGAACTGCACAGAAATTATTAACTAATATTAGCTATTATAGGCAACAAAGAACTATTGTAGATAAAGAGCTAAATTATTTAAATACTGGTTTCATTGGTTCTGCTTCATAAATTAATGTTGGATCAAACTTTCAAATGTTACTTACAAGTTTAGCTAGATAACAGTTTCCTTTGTGATGCCAGCCTTCAAACAATAACGCCCCTTGCAGTCCCCCCCCCAAATTTACAAATATTTACAGAATAATAAGTCATGAACATCTATATCATAGAAATACTCCAAAGTAAATTCTGGGCTGAATCTCCAAACCAGATAAAATACAGATTTAACCCGATTTTCACTCAGTTACACTCATAGAACTAAATATTCCAACATCTGATAAAAGTACATAACTAGATAATGTAGCAAATTGGTATTCAATTAGGCAATTTGGTAATTAAAAACTACTTTATCCAATGAAATAAGAATCAACAAAAAGGAAAAATTGATATTGTCCCTCTTTAAATCCAGACTTGGTGGTTTTTGCAGAGAGGTTTGGCATGAACAAAAATTAGATTTTCTTTTGGCCAGAGGCAACTGAGTTTTTCCTAATGGTTTTAGTGTTATAGAACTGAAAGTAGAGTGACGTTCAAGTAACATAATATGCATTCACTCTCACCAAGTTATTCAGTTATTTGGGATCACATTCAGCAAGCTAAGTAGCCAAATACATGGCTCTGATTTAGAGACAACCAAGGCACTGGATGCCTAAATAAATAAATGTATAGAATGCAACAAGGCCCAATAGCTGCTCTTCCTAAAGGAAGATAACTTCAGGGACAGTTCTTGATTCAATGGAGAATATGGTTTGACATCTGTGACGGCCTCACCATCAAACATATGCCTCTTAAATTCCCATTATTTATAGAACTTTTGTCTGATACTATCAGCAGCAGCAGAGTTCTTCAGGTTTTTGGGTTCCATAATCTCCCAAAGGATTTGAAATGGCATTAGAACATCATTAAAAAGGCACAAGAAAGAATGTTCTTCCTGATCAACTCAGGAAGTTCAAGTTCAGACTGCCCCAGGAAATGTTGATACAGTTCTACAGAGAAATTATTGAGTCTGTCATTTGTATTTCTATAACTTTCTGGCTTGGTACAGCAACCAAACAGGACAAGTACAGATACCAACCAATCGTTAGGCCTGCGGAAAAAAAACAGTTGCAACCAGCCTGACTTCCATAGAAAATCTGCATATAGTGTGGGTCAGAAGGAGGGCTGAAAAAATATCTACAGATCCCCTCACATCCTGGACATAAACTCTTTCAACTCCTCCCCTCAGGATGCTGCTGTAGGGCATTGCATGCCAATACAACTAGACGAGGGGTAGGCAACCTTGGCTCTTTTATAACTTGTGGACTTCAACTCCCAGAATTCCTGAGCCAGTCATGCTGAGGGGAAAGGGAGAGTTTCCAAGCTGAGCCATGCTGGCTCAGGAATTCTGGGAGTTGAAGTCCATGAGTCATAAAAGAGCCAAGGTTGCCTACCCCTGAAACTAGACACAGGATGGTTTATTCCCTCAGTGCCATCACTCTACTGAACACCTAATTCTCACAGTACTGTCACATCTAAATATAATACCCATGTTGCATGGCTGTCGTATTATGATTATCTTTCTCATCGTCATTACTATCCCTCTTACTGGTATCATTATTATGATTATTATTGCTCTGTTGCTTTGCATGTACACTGAGAGCTTCTGCACTGGAGACAGATGCCTTGTGGATCTAATCACATGGCCAAATAAAATATTCTGTCCTATCATTCATCTATCCATCCACTTAATCTCTTGCCTTAAGAATTTAGGCTATAGGAATAATTATTTCTTTAGTATTAGCAACTATCCTTTTCAGCTGTCCTGAGAGCTACCACATCAAGAAAAGGAAACATTTGAACTTCACTTTGCTTTTCAACACTATGGCATGCTGGAAGACAGTGTACTGCAATCACAGCAAACAGGAGACCAGTGCAACTGATCTTATAGCAGGATGGATCATTTTAATTGCTTTCTTGTAATCCTTGGACCTTCTTCTAATTCACTGAAATGTGGTGGATTACTGCTAAAACAATAGTCCTCAACCTGAGTAGATGTTCTAACCATTGCCTACAAGTTCTAAGGATAAAGGACAATTTGAGGTCTAAAATTCTATCCCCACTCCTAATGTGCTTTTATTATCTGAAATTTGAGTCTATTCATGACACTCAGTGCTCCAAATCAAAAAGGGTCACCAATTGCTATCATAATACTGAATTCTAAGATGTTCAGTCTAGTTAGTATATACATTTTTTTTGCATAGGAAGTACAACAAATGCACAGAACCTTCAAGTCCAAATGGAGAATATACATTTGATGCATGTATTGAATCCCTTCACAGATTTGTTTTATGAATAAGATGGCTTCCATCTCTGTCAAGCTGGAGTTTTCATCAAGAATTCGATCAAACAGTTCTCCTCCTTCCACACTGAAAAGAGAGACAGATAGACTTAATTCGTAATTCAGTGTGCTTAAAATTTTACATTCAAGAACAATATTCTCCAACCTGGCATGATCCACATGTCTATCTAGGATTATAAGAAAACACTAGAATCGGGAAGGCTGGTCAGAAATGTTTGTTTCCCATGTGACTATGTACATGCAGACCTAGACTCTCATAAATTGGCTATGTACAAAACAAACAAACTGTAATGAATCTTTTAGGATTTGGTTATTACCTGATGTAGAATATACTTTTTGGTCGTAATTCCAAGACAAACTGTCAACAGCTTTATTTTTATTGAAGGTGGAGTATTTCAAGGAGTGAATGTCAAGAGATTTGCGATAAGCTAGATGTACAGTTTTCAGTGAGTAAACAATTACTGGAGATCATAGATGTGCAGAAATCTAAGTAGGGCATTTATTCTCCAATTGGTGAGGTCTATCTTAGTATTCTTCAGGCAGAGAGAGAGGGGGGGGGTTAAGAATAGTATGACTCTCTAATGCATTAATGATATACTTCAGTAGTAAAGCACATGCTTTACATGCAAAAGTTGAATCCCTGATATAGCTAAGCACATTTCACTGAAAATGTTGCCAATCTAGTTCATACTTCCAACGTCACCCTCCCCTTGTCAGGTTGCATATAAAAATTCAAACACCCCAATCAAATTGTAGTGTTTCAAAACATCCATATTCAAACAGAAGTTGATCCAACCTCTACATGGTTTCCAATTTTGAATCTGTACATACCTGCACAGAACAGCAATGGCAATAGCTGAGGTGGCGCAGCAGTTAGAGTGCAGTACTGCAGGCCACTTTAGCTGACTGTGTTCAGCAGGTCAGCGGTTCAAATCTCACCGGCTCAAGGTTGACTCAGCCTTCCATCCTTCCGAGGTAGGTTGTTGGGGACAATGTAAATATATATATACATTGCTTACTGGTGTACACCGCTTAGAGAGTGCTTGCACTTAAAGCGGTATATAAGTCTAAATAAATAAAAATAATAAATAAATAAATAGCACTTAAACTTATATACCACTTCACACTGCTTTACAGCCCTCTGTGAGTAGTTTTCAGAGTCAGCCTATCGCCCCCAACAGTCTGGGTCCTGATTTTACCAACCTCAGAAGGATGGAAGGCTGAGTCAACCTTGAGCTGGTGAGACTCAAACTGCCCAACTGCTGGCAGCCAGCGATCAGCAGAAGTAGCCTGCAGTTCTGCATTCTAATCACTGCACCACCGTGACTCAGAAGTAGTAAGTATGGATAATATTGATTCTAATAAAGAAATTGCCTAAGTGTGAATGTAGAATTTTTTTTTCTTTCCAAAACTTACCTTCTGTTCTGTCACTATGTAATCTCTGTAAACCTGGTCCAGGTTAAGTATATCAGAGAAAAGTGGAAGATATACTGTAGATATATCTTCCACTTTATATATGTAGTATAAACTATAGATGTTGTCTACATTCTCTATACTCCCATAAAAGATAACTACAGTCGCTGGGTTTAGCACACTGTTGACTGAATGGAGAATGAGGAGAATCTCCTTAAATGCTTTGGCTGCAGACACAGTTAAGAAAGAGAAGCAGAACAAACGTTTAATTGATACATACTATTCCATAATAAGGACAAGATCATTTTTTGATTCAAAAGCATCATACAGCTGAATGATGTTCATGTGGGTCAACTGATTCATTATACTAATCTCATTTTTCACTTCATCCTGCAAAGAAAAAAAAAGAACATTGTTACATTAGAGGAGAATGTAGCAAAAATCTTAATGCCATCTTTAATATTGTTGATTTTCCTGTTTCCATATATTAGTTAAACCCTTAAAGCTCCCTTCTCCAATGCAATGACATCCCAAAGTGCTGAACCTCAGCTGGTGGAAATATGCACTGCCAATATTTGGATGACAACAAAATTTATACTTTGCCCAAGTCTAAGAATTCAAGAGCAACTGCATTTCAGAAGAAGCCATGACTATCATTCTTTATGCCTCTATTCAGATAGGCATTGCCTCTGCTTTGTCTGCTGAGCTAGAAGTACTTTGAACCACTAAGGCATTTTTCTTAAAAAAAAAAAAAAAAAAGCAAAACCAGAAAGAAACCTGTGTTATATTGTTGATCAGGTGAACTGTCTATAATGGTTAAACTGGCAAGTTGAACACTGATGCTGTTCCAGAACAAGATCAGAGAAAGCAGCTGAGTTGTGGAAGGATGAAAAAAAAATATCTTAAGGTCTTTGCATAAAAGAGTAGGAGAGAAAGGTATAAGAGTTAAATCCTGGGTCCTGCTTGCTTAAAGAGATGATGATGATGATGATGATGATGATGATGATGGAGAGAGAGGGAGAGGGAGAGGGAGGGAGGGAGGGAGGGAGGAGGGGAGAGAGAGAGAGAGAGAGAGATTCTGTGTTCTGCTGCAGGCTGATCTTCAGAGCATATGCAATTTCTTTTTTGTTTAAAATGCGATGACATATCTAGAAGAAGAATCAATCTTTTGGGCTTCTGTTATTCCCTAGTTCCTAAGAATAAGATTAAGTTTCCAGAATAATGGAGAATTACAATTTGGGCTGATCTAAGTTCTGATAGTCTCTTTCAACTTGAATTAACTCCTAGAAATCTCATGGCGACATTTGTTTTTTTTTTCTTGACAACAGTGTACATCTGGCTTGCCATTGCTGCTAAATTTTTGTTTTTTACTACTTAAATCTAGTTTATAGCCTGGTAATCCTATGTGGTTTCCACCCAAGTACAAGATATGTTTGACTTTCAATTCCAAAGCAGAGTGTTGAGACACTCTGCAATGAATCTTTGCAAGAGCTGAGAAAATAGAATAAGATTTTCTTCCTAAAATAATAATGTGAAAGAAATTACAACACAGACCCTTGATTTGTGGCATAGACCTGCTTTATAGATTACCTAATTTGATGTTGGGGGGGAGAGATTGAAGTGGAGATTTCAAACGCTGATCTTTGTACAAATAGCTAAGATCTTTATATCACACAAGAAGCATATGAGTCCATCTGCAAAAGTTTGTCCAGGTGAAGCCAAGTCAGTAGATAGCCCACACATTGCTATAAGGCAGGGGTCTTCAAACCCGGCCCTTTTATGACTCAAGGACTTCAACTCCCAGAATTCCTCAGCCAGTGTGCCTGGCTGAGGAGTTGAAGTCCATGAGTCATAAAAGGGCCGAGTTTGAAGATCCCTGCTATAAGGTGTTATTCAAAGCCCACTTACCTTTTCCTTTACACTCCTGGCTTTTATAGTTTTGGCTGCTAATTTGAGACCTGTCTCTTTTTCTTCACATTTATGCACCTGGCCAAACCGTCCACTAGAGAAAGAAAAAGAAAAAAGCATAATTGAATTCAGGCCTCAGGTGACTTTTCATTTCATTTCTTTTGAAGTTAGGACAGTCCTATGATTAGGAGAATCACTTGCCCTGACCCTACAAGGCTGATCTTACATACTTGTTAAAAGATTACAATAAAAGATTTAGGACAAGGATCTTCAAACTTGGCCCTTTTATGACTTGTGGACTTCAGCTCCCAGAATTCCTCAGCCAGTGTGCCTAGCTGAGGAATTCTGGGAGTTGAAGTCCACAAGTCATAAAAGGGCCAAGTTTGAAGAGCCCTGATTTAGGAGATCAACATGATTGGTCCTATTTCCAGAAGAGAAACAAGAAAAATGACAATGTCCAGGCTTTTGCCTGGTCCCTGCAGTAAACAGGGCATTGGACAAAATAGAGCTTTAAGACCAGCAGACCTTTTGATGTTCTCAGCATTCCTTCTCATGAAAGTGTCATGCTTTGAGGTAGAATTTAGAACACTCATTCATTTTTAGGACAGATTATGATAGACTATTTATTTGTATTGTGAATCGATTGGTTTGATTGGTAATAGCAAGGACTTCTTGAACTGGAAGACACCAAAATAACTCAGCTCCAGAAACCATCAACTTTCTGTTCAGTCTTCCATTTAAAATATGTAAGCCATTGCTATTCTGGACTAGGATGGTTCGCTTATTGCTTCATCCAAATAAAACTACTACTTGATCTGTACTGTAGTAATCTAGGACAGTATCCAGAGGTTGGTCTGATTCTTTTAAGAGATTCTGCACTGAATGAACTATAATTTTGGCTCGGCTTACCCTCCCAAAACTTCATTCTTGAAGATGTGATAGAAGCTTCCAATCCCAGCTCTTTTTGCTTTGATGATCCTGTGATCAAAAGGAGCAGGTATTGATAGTATGTTACCTGTAAATGATAAACACAAAAGACCACATCCAATGTGAACTAATGAAATGAGAGACACAAATGGTTATGTGTGTATGCATGCCTTTGAGTTAGATTTTGTCTGCTGGCAACGGCCTGGATAAGTCCCTGCAGTTTTCTTAGCAAGATTTCAGAAGTAGTTTGCTATTGCCTGCTTCCTAGAGCTGAGAGAGAGTGACTGGCCCAAGGTTTCTGCTTAAGTTGGGTCTTTGCCTAAAGTGGAATTAGAACTCACAGTCTCTCGGATTCTGTCCTGCTGTCTCAAAATTATTTGTGTGCCTTTTCAGTTTTTGTTCAGGTGTTAAAATGTAATTAGCAACTTCAAACCACTATTTCCCCTTGTTTGGGTTCTTAGTCCTGTGCACTGTTGCAAGATGGCAGCTTTTGACTGTGCAAAAGATTTTTGTATATGTTGTTTTCTGGAACAGGATTCCACAAATTCTACCATGGGTTGATTCTGACTTGGTAGGTCCTAAAAGAACTTTGGAACAGTTTGAAAATTTGAAAAACATAATGGTGGTGACATAGAAATACAGGTTTTTAATGTTGCTTTAGGCTACAGAGAGCTACCTATTCAGCTTAATAAAGTCAACCTTAATTGTATCCAAGAAGCACGAACATGGGAACGAAGAAGTGAAATAACTATAAATTGACATCTTAGGCATCAGGAAGTCAAAATGGATTGGATACTTTCTTTCAGAAAAATCATACTTTTTATTCTTAAGGACGTGAAAACAAGATAAAACAGCTTTGCTTTTATACTTAGGAAGAGCATAGTAAGAATTGTACTTTGTTACAATGTAATAAATGATAACATCAACTAGACTTCATGAGCAATCCCTTAATGTGATAGTCTTTTAAGTTTATGCTCTAACCTCCAAAGTAGAAAAAGGAGCTTGATGAGTTTTATATCAACTTCAGTTTGAAATCAAGCGCTCCTTGTGACTGGCGATGGGAATGTCAATATTGGAAATATTAAAAAGGAAAATGTAATTGGATGGTATGGCTTAGGAAACTAAAATGAAACAGGAAAGCAATGTATTAGTTTATGCCACTCCAATGAAATCTTCATAGCTAACACCAGTGCTTTTTTTCTAAAAAAAAAAAAAAAAAAAAAGTGCCGGAACTCACACACGTCATACAACCCGCCTTGCCTACCCTACAAGGTTCCATCCAAAAAAGGTGCCGGAACTCCGTTCTGGGCATTCTATGAGAAAAAAACTCCTGGCTAACACTGTGTTCAAACAATAAAAATGACGCCTCTATAAACGGATATCACCAGATGAAGTATATAGAAATCAAATTGATAATATGATTGCTAAAAGGAGACAGAGGAGCTGAATTACAGAATCATAAACATAGCCAGGCACTGACTGTGGAACACATCATGAACTGCTCATGTGCTAGTTTATTTATTTATCTAATATATTTTTATCTTGCCCTTTATTACTTTATATAAGTAAGGTAGTAAACATACTTAATACTGCTCTTCCTATTTTCCCCACAACAATAATATTGTGGGGTGGTTTGGGCTGAGAGAGACTGACTGGCCCAAAGTCACCCAGTTCCAAGTCAAGCTAAAACAGACAAAGAAGCCAGTAAGTTTCCACAGTAGGATCTTGTACATCAGTGTTTCTCAACCTTGACAATTTTAAGGCATGTGGACTTCAACTCCTAGAATTCCACAGCCAGCGTTGCTGGCTGTGGAATTCTGGGAGTTGAAGTCCACATGCCTTAAAATTGTCAAGGTTGAGAAACACTGTTGTACATATATCCACCGTTTTCAAGGAGAACATCAGAAATCACACTGAAATACTGAGCCTCAATGATTAAAGAACCAGAGGAATTACAAATGAACTTGAAGAAATTGTTCACTATGAATGTGAAAAGGGACTGCAAAAAAAGGAAGAGAAGAAAGCAAACTGGGAGAATTAGAACAAACTGTGGAAATTGCCAAGAAAGAGAAGCAAATCAAGGAAGACAAATAATCTCAGGAAGAAACTTAATAAAGAGTTTTAGAGAGCACTTGCTAGATGAGCCATGAAAGTCTTGGAAAAGATACTCAAATGCCATGAGTCCCTATACCAGGGGTAGGCAATCTTGGCTCTTTTATGACTCGTGGACTTCAACTCCCAGAATTCCTGAGTCAGCCATGCTAGTTCAGGAATTCTGGGAGTTGAAGTCCACGAGTCATAAAAGAGCCAAGGTTGCCTACCCCTGCCCTATACCTACAATCATGACAACTGAGAAACAATGGAAATGAAAGCTGGAAAGATATTTTTTAACTTTTGGTGTTGAAGAAAACTCCCGAGAATACTGTGGACAGCCAAGAGCAGAAAACAATGGATATCAAGCAAATAATCCAGAGTTCTCACTCGAGGCACAAATGACCAGGTTCAAATTATCCTCTTTCAGATTCATTATGTGAAGGCCCAGCTCTCTGCAAATGGCTGCAATGCTGGGAAAGATGGAGGGAAAGAGAAGAGGACAAACAATAAGGATGATAGATTCAGTTTCAGTAACACCTTTGGGAAACATGCAAGAATAGGTTAGGTATAAATTGTCGTGGAGAAAATCTATCAATGGGAGCTGAAACAACCTGGTGGCACATTTAAGCAAAATTTAATTTAATATTAAAATAACTTGCTTCTATTGCTGTATGTCTAGCAAAGCCCAAACCTTAGAAACTGGCAATCAAATAAACCAACAAAAAAGTTAATGACAAGGATAGACAAAAGAACAGGTAGCACGAAAATTTGTTTGCTTTCAAATCTTCAGGTGAGATATTCAACTGGTATAAGCTAGCAATCCAGGTGTTATTCTTCTGTTAACAGAACAATGTAGAATATGCAATACAAATGGATTCATTTTGCTTGCAATTAGTATACATTTTATATATTTTTAAAGCTGAGTTGTACCAATTATAAAATTATCCCCCTTTGAAGCGTCTTGCTTCATTTTGTTCTTGTTGGCAGCTGTTGATTTAGATGGGATTGTTTTTCCAAGTAAGGCAAGTTCTGTTGTTTTTGGCTTAGCTGCTTCTTTTGGTTTAAGTCCACCACTGGCCTTTGCTACATCCACTCTGCTCTTTTTGTTGATATCTTTGGGAAAACTTCCCTCATTCACACGACGCTTGCTGCTGAGGGTTTGCTCATCTTTCAGAAGAAATAAAGCTTTTTCATTTTCTTTATGCCTAGATGAGAAATCGTAAATTATTCCAGTGTCATCTTTGGAACATTGTAGAGAAATATAAACAACCCAAATTATCAGAAGCATTTGTTTTTAGAGTTCATGGTTGATCGATGAATACATGTATTATTTTATTTTATTTCATTATTTTATTCAATTTATGGAGCTGCCCATTTCACATATTTGATTCTGAGTCGCTTACAAGATTAAAACACAAAGAGTGCTGGAACTAAAAAAAATAATCCTGCAGTCTATACAATACAATCAAAAGGAGAAAATAGTTAATTTAGGTTAACAATAACAGTTTTGTGAGTTTTGCGCCACCATTACAGTATCTGATCCCTAGGCCAGAAGGGCAAAGCCATATCTTCAGGCCTTTTTGGGAAGGCCAGCAAGGTTGCAGCCAGTCTGACCTCTGGGGGGAAAAGATGTTGCATATGGTGGGTGCAGTGAAGAGATAAAGGCTCCTCTCTTGGCTCCCGTCAGATGGCATTTCCTTATAGATGGAACCCATATTATGCCTCTTCTTGTTGGTCTTGATGGGACAAGTAAGTGTAATTGGGGAGAGTCAGTCCCTCAAATAGCCTGGCGTCATATCATGTGGGAATGTATAGGTTATCCAACACCTTGAGCTGAGGTATAAATGCTCAGAACTATCCGGGCACATCATTACCCCTGCTGCTGCATTTGCACTGCTGAAGCTTTCAAATGTTCTTCAAGGGCAGCTCCGTTTAGAGCACATTACAGCAATCTATGCAGGAGTTAACCAGGACATGAACCACTGAGCAGAAAGCCTCATTTATGTGGGAAATTGTACAGGTGGTCTTCAGTTATCAACCACTTGTTCATGAGTCATGAGAGCATGGAACAAGTGGTACTTATCACTAGCCCTTGCAAGCTTGGCAACTGGCTTGCCCTTACAACACTTGCAGCATCTCACATCATGGAATAATAATAATAATAAAGTTGGAAGGGACCTTGGAGGTCATCGAGTCCAACCCCCTGCGATGGTTTCCTACAAGAAAATGGGGAAGCTGGCAGGGAAAGTCAGAACTCATTCTGATAAGTTCCCCTCCTCCAGTCTTCCTGAACTTCCATGATCCTGCACTATTCATCCCCTGGCCATCCTGCATTTTATTCATTTATTTATTAAATTTATATGCTGCTGATATCACTGTTGAAGCAACTCTGGGTGGCATATAAATTTATATTCCTATCCCCCAGACTTTGTGCGCTCTTATGTGACCTACACTGGGCCTCCCAAGACGTTCCCTTGGCCTCCCCAACCCCCCTATGGCACTTCTGGGCTCCTTATCTGAGGCTCTCTGTTTCCTGCTTAATGACCCACACCTCCAATGGCAACCAGGACTGCCAGGATTGCGATTGCTAAGTGTTGTGATCATATATCATCACACTGTACATCACTTAGAGATGGCAATCCTAATCTCAATTGCTGTCATAACCTGAGGACGAACTGTATATATTTTCAGTGGTAATATAAATGGCAGAATGTTAGAACAGGAATAGGTCTTGTGAGAATATGAGAAAATCTCCTCCCGGCTAAATTGGAAACCTTAGGGAGCAAAGTTCTTACCATTACCTCACAAGCTTCCACAATATATTGGGCTCCTTATTATATGTGTGCACCATGTATTATGGATTCCATCTAACTTAGAGAATATTTTCAAGGAAGATGGTTTTGGTTGAACAGAACCATTCCATTTCCCTCCAAATCCTTATAGTATGGTGTGTAGAATTCAAAACTTATCAAATTATTGTTATTACTGGATTTCATTATGGACAGGAACATTAAATCTTTCTATCAATTTCATTAGTAACATGTCAACATTTCCATAAGACTGTTTTCTTTGTTGTCCAAAAGTTCTAAATTAAGCTAATCCAACAGGAAGTTTTCTTATGCAAATTTTGTCTTTCTGGTTCCAATGAGTTTGCAAAAAAAAAGAAAAATTCTTGTACAATAAAAGCCAAGACTTGAGAGGATTATAAGTAATGTAAGACCAACATTTGGACCAAATATCCTACAGCATGTTGAACAAGTTTTGTATTGTCAACAACTGTTAGACTAACAATTATTCAACATCTGCTCAAGCCAATTAGAAAAAAGTGAAAGTTGGATATTGCGTTCTTTTTAACACAGAATGCCAAGACCGGAAGGCCAACACTACAAAAAAGTGTTTATAGAGGCCTAATAGTCCAGGTCTTGTTTAACACAGGAAATTCAAAATAAGAACATTCTAGTCAGATGGCTAACCTGTTTCTGATTCACCGCTTTTATTGAGGGTGTATCTATAATTACACCAAGGAATTAATTCCTTTGTCAAACTATCCCCAAATTCCATACGTTTCTCTTAATTCTGAACCAAAATGTATCTTTCTATAAGTTACTCTTTGAGTAACTTTGCCTTTGTCCATCTGATAATACTTCAGAGCTACTATGTCCATCCCCCTAAATCTTCTCTTCCCATGCTGGAAATAGTGTTGTTGTTTTTATTGCCTATTAAATATTATATAGTGTTTATCCTTGTGTGTGAATTATCTTTAATCTAACGATCTAAAGTGATAGCCTCTCTCTCTCTCTCTCTCTCTCTCTCTCTCTCTCTCTCTCTCTGTACTGCATGATGCTATATGAATAAATCTAAAGGGAGATAGTGTGATATTGAAACATACTTGATATCTGGATCTTCTATTGATTTTTTTCTTTGAGATATTTTTTCTGGTACTTCTGCTTTTTCATCCCTGGGAATATCTTTTCTTTTATCATCTTCTCCCACATTCTCTGGACTTTCTTGAGATCCATCATGCTTCTTCACAGGTCCTAGAGCATCACCTTCTGTATCTGGGTTATTCTGACTTTGGTTGGCTTCATTTGCATTCACCTCCTCTGGACTCTTTCCTGAGGTCTTCCGAAGAGAACCTTTCCAACTGTTACTATTACTTCTCTCTGCACACACTTCAGACTCATAAGAATCAAGAGATGTTAGGGAATTTCTCTGAACAAGAAAAGTGTTTGCCTTCTCTGTATTCTCTTTGTTGAGTTTATGGACCTTTTCCGTATGAGAATATAATTCTGACTTCTCATCAGAGCCATCTAGAAAAAAAAAATCAACGATTTCAGTGAAAAGAATACTTATGTAACATCATCCAATTATTCACACTGCAGCAACCTGCTTCTCTCTTTTGAAAGTTAGGGACTTTCCAGCTTCTGAAGTGAAGTATTCAACCACTAAGAGTCTAAATATATTATAAAGAATATATTCTTCTCACTCAAGGGTGCCTCTAGTTGAAGGATTCTGACCACTGCTATTCATTGCTCTTCTGTCAAAACATTTCCATTCATAAAAATAGAATCAAATCTACCAGTAAAAATACTCCAAATTTGATGGAAGAAATAAACTAAAATAAGGACTGTAACAGGATTGATGATAAGGCAAATCCAAATGAATGGAAAGAAAAAAATGTATTAATATGATGATTATTTTTTAGGAATATTGGAAAAAATATATACTAAATTGTCAGTTATTAAAATATTAAGAATTGTATTAATGCAATGTTTGCAAAAAAGGATGTTTTTTTAGGGAAAGAGGAAAGTAATCAAAATTAACATATGAAATACAGACTATAGAAATTAATTGTTAAGGACTGTTTTTACAAATGTAACTCAGAAACCATACTGTTTACCAACTATTAAATGACTTATGTTTGTGTAAAAAACTAATAAAAATTATAATAAAAAAATAAAACATTTCCATTCATTTTCCACGTGTGAAAGCATCACTTCCAAGTAGCATAGAAATGCAGCCCAAAAGAAGGCAGAAGGGTATTCTTTTCATCCTTCCTATTTTAAAAATTCTGGAACTATAAAACTTCTGAAAGGAAACTTTATATGGGTTCAGAACCTTGAATTCATTAATTTTATTTTATTTATTTAAATGTATTGGTCAACTCCCTCCAATGGACTCTACAGTTAAGATACAGTTAATTCATTCGTCTCCATTCAGAGAACAGATTTTCAGATGTTTGTCTGATATTTTTGGCCATTTTAAAAAATAAAACAATAATATATTGTCAGCTGAATTAACTGTATCCTTTGTTCTACTGAACAAGCCCTATTGTAACTCAAATCAAAATTTCTGTTTGCTGTGAGCAACACAACTTCTCCAAACTTTGGCAAACAAGTTATAGCAACAGACAATCAAGGGGATGCAGCGCTTCTAATACTGGCAAGTAACATGGCTAATCTAGTTGGAGGAATGAGATTATGCAATGCTGGCACTAGAAAAATGCAGCTAGCTGATCTAAAGAGATAGACTTGGCACATGTCCCATGGGCAAAAAGCCAAGGTTAAGAAACTTTAGCCCAGAATGCCCTGAGGTGAAAACCCCTTTTTCCATTTGACAAATCATACTCTCCCTGTCTAGGGCACAAAGCTGCAAAAACAATACCACTCGTGTTAGTTTTGAGAGAGAAAAAGAGATATCTAACCTGAGGAATCTGGCGTTTTTTTCTTTTTTATAGATTTTGTTCCCTTTGCAGTAAGATACGACTTTTCCTATGGGAAAAACAAGCAAGCAGGTCAAGGTTTCATAACATATTTCCTTTGTAAAATGTTGCATTTCCTTGTTCTAAGCACAGATTTTCCATGACTCCCAATCAAAATCGAACTTTGACAGCATCTGTAATTATTTCCCCTTTCTGTCATGTTTATGAAATTCTTTCACCTGAATTTTGTATATACTTCCCTGAACTGTCTAGGGTTCCCTTAAAGAAGGAATTCAGAATCAAAGTCCCTGCTGCTAAATAATATTTATTTCTTGGAAAGGTCCATGCTGACTTGCATAAGCTGTTTTATATGAAAATGTACTTAAAGATCCTAATATCTTCAACATTTGGCCATCATGAAGGCAAAATTTTAAATCTGAAATACTTAGTGAAATTTTACATCTTCTGTCCTTCTGTCTTTGCTAGCTAGATAAAATATAGAACATATTTACATTTTCTAATGAAACTAAGGTGAGTGAAATTCTATGCAAATCTACTGAAGATATAAGCATGAAATGATAATGAATTTTGCTCATTGAAATAAAGAAAGCCAGTTAACCTTTAAACCAGTTAATCTAATAGTCTATCTTAGGGATTCACAAAAATACAAATTCTTCTGAGGAGGCATGCCTTTCCAGACATATCTTTCAATTTTTTTTAACATGAATATGTAATTGGTATGCACTACATTTATCCTAACAAAAAACTAATTTTAAAAAATTAACTCATCTTATATGTACCGCAATGGAAATGGTTTTCCAACAACTATATTTTGAATTGCATTTCCAAAACCATATAAAGCAAAGACATATGGCTTTTTTCTCAGCTGAGTGCCATATTTAGCTCTGGATATGAATACTGAGAGAAAATTTCCCCAAAATAGGCAAAGCATGGACAACAGGACACATATTTTTTTCATATTAAAAATTACAATTTGGAACCTACTTCTGAAGAAACTCCATGTGGCAATGCAAGTAACTTGTCTTTTTCAAAGCAATGTCGGTCACATTCCAATTATTTCACCCATGTTATCACTTCCAACACAGCCCTTTCCACACAGATGCCAACTGTAAGAAGCATGTTTCCAATGCTAACAAATACATCTTCACCTGCTCCTTGAGAATAGTCAATATTTTATCTAGTTGGCCAATGAGATAGCACTAAAAATGGCAATACCTGCCTCTACCTGCCCTTTGTTTTTATTTTGCTGCATTTTGTGGGCATGTTTTAAAAATACCTGACAACATGTGCAATTTTGGCTGGTTACAAGGTGGAATAAGGAGTTTCAGGAATCTAAGGAGTGAATGAATCAGGAGGGATTGCCATCTCTTTTTAGGACAATTGTTTTCAATAATTCACATATAAATTATACCATATGAGAATGTTCAGTATTTACTGTGACCATTTATCCACTGCTAAACTTACCAGTTTTGATAAGTTCTTCTATCCAACTATTGTAGAGCTGGGTATAACAATAACCAGCCCATTGCTGGGATATTTGTTAATCGCTATTAACAGTTCTTTTGGGGGGGTCAAATTCAACTCCTGTTGCTATCACAAATGTTTCCACATCCATGTTTCTTGACAACTATACAGAAGTGGTTTTGGAACGTTCTCACCAAAATTTTGTTTAATTATTCAAAATAATCCATCTGGCTGGGCATTTTCACTGATATAGTCCAATAAAGTAGCTTCCCTTCTTTTTCTTTTTTTATTGTTCCTTTTGACATGGCACACAATAGAGAACACTGGGATCTAAAGTTGATCTTTTCTGCAGAGTTTTAATGAATAATTTAATATAACAATTCAACATCTAAAATATAAGAGATTGTCACAGTTCTTTGAAACAAATTAGCATTCCCATTATTTAAAATAAAAACAGGACTGATCTAAAAATATTTTTACCCAGAATTTGCTATCATTTAAAGAAAGAAGGTGATTTGAAACTAATAGCTAGCTTCTAACTTTAATTGACACTGATACCTGGATCATCGTTTCAGAGTTCTTTTTTTTATTTAAAAGTTTTATAAATTTATTACAATATAACCCCCCCCACCCCTTCCCCCCTCCCCCACTTCCCAGAGCTGATTACAGGATAAAAAATAAAATAAACAAACATAATCTAACTAACATTAATCAACTATACTATCAATCAAAACCATAACACACTTTTACTTCTTCTCCCAACAAATATTAACAAATTAAGTCAAAAATAGTAAAATAATTAAAATTAATAATAATTATCTAGAATCTACTCAAAAGCAAGATAATACTTTTCAATCTCATATTTGTTCTGAATGTAATCAATCCATCTTCTCCAAACCATAATATATTTTTCTTGTGAATGATCCTTCAAATAGGCGGAGATTTTCACCATATCTGCTAAATTAGACACTTTAAGTATCCATTCTTCCAAAGTAGGCAATAAGTTTTTCTTCCAATATTGCCCCACCAATAATCTTGCAGCTGTTATAAGGTTCAACATCAAATTGATTTCTTTAACATCAAAATCTACAATAATACCCAACAAAAACAATTGCGGAGTAAACTTTATCTTTCTCTTAAAAATCTTTTGAATATTCCACCAAATCTTAATCCAAAAAGCTTTAATATCTCTACAAGTCCACCAAATATGAAAATAAGTTGCATCTAAATCATTTCAGAGTTCTTAATTAAACAGACAAACAGAATCACCACAGTGGGAGTGGGAGACTTTCGAATTCCTACCAGCTTCCCCACTGATTTTCCTAGTAGGGAAAATCACCGTAGGCATCACAGTGGTATACCAATTTGGCAGCATTGAAACACCCACAATTTTGCCAAGTTTCAATGCCACAGAAGTTATAGACCCTGGATTTGCATACATACTGTCACTTGAAGTATATTGATTCAAAAATTGTTACACTAAGATTCATCATTTTACCCAATTGAAGATTACAAACAATCAAACAGACACGAGAGTTTTAATAGTATATACAATAGATTATAAAGTCACAACAGGCTTTAAAAACAAACAAACCTGGTTATCAGTGAATTTATAGTTTGGGATTACTTTTTCTGTAGTCTTCAGTCCTTGAGTGACATCTAGAGGATGCTTTTATGAATATATTGCTCCCCCAAAACTACATTATTAACTAATGGGGGAAGGGAGAGGCCATGCCTGGATTAATCCCAGACAGTTCTTTCATATAAGCATTCCATTTTCAAAATAGCCAGCCAGAGACTTCTGAGCTAATCGTCTCCTATCACTTGACCTTCCGCTATTTTGTTATTTCAGGTAAACTGGCCATAATGGTGGCTGATAAATATTAAATCACTATGCAGTTTAAGCTAAAATTGCTGACTGGGACTAAAAGACTCCAAGATATAAATGGTACCTTCAACATTTTGTATGAAAATGCACAAAAGATTAAAAAGGAAACCACTTATAACTGAAGCCCTCTCCTTGAACCTTACAACATTTTATTTATATAAGAATCCCTGAGCATTGAATGGTAGATAATTTGCTAGTTTAGTATGAACAAATGTGTAAAAGAAATAAGAAAATGTTAAAACAAATTAATCTGAAAACAAATTACACAAACAATCAATTTTAAAACCTACTAGGCACAGATATTAAAATAGCAGTAATAAAATTAATTATAAGCCAACATTTCAGCAGGAATAGAAAATTAAAATTAAAAATTATCCTCAGTAAACATGCATAAATCCAAGTTACAAATATTTCAAGTTGTAGCATCCATACAAATGCTGAATAAGGAAAGATCCACTTCCAAGTTAGACAAGCGAAAACTGAGCTTTATATAATCATGGTATCTACCCCACTGAAAGAATGATTAAAACAGCACAACACATGGAAAATATTACTTGCAAAGAAATTAACTGTGATTTCCCACTATAAAAGGGACCACAAATGTGGAAGTGTGCATAATTATGTTAAAGAGCTACTTAAAATTACATATTTTTTTTTTTAAAAAAAGAGATTTCCATGACTGAGTGGATGAATTCATCAAAGAGATATCATGAATGTTTCCCATATATACATGAAAAATAATTTATGTCTGAAAAGATTTTCAAGAGGTGTCTAAATAGTTTGTGTCCCAAGTATTTCCCCCTCCCACAACATCCCCTCCACAGTGGCCAAGCAATATGATAAATCATGGAGGTTCAGAATACCATTGTACAACTCCAGGAGAAACATGGCATTATTTTTTGTAATGACTCTAGAATTCCTTCTCAGGGAATATTCATTTAAACTCCTTTTTGCCATCTTTTCAGAGATAGTAAAACCATTCTGCTTTAGCAGCTAATCATGTTTAGTAGCTTTTTACATGTAATTAATTACATGTAATGAGGGGAGCATATTCATTGGGAGGAGAATGGAATGGCATATTTCAGAATGTAGACCCAGGGTTTATCTTTTAATGTTTAAATAGGCAATTTAGGCTTATACCTTACTAACCAGCTAATAAATCTTTATGCTATTTTGTATGGTTCTGATTAAGAATGTCCCAGACTACTGCTGTATCAAGGAAAAAGCTATGCTAGAATTCCATTTTTTTTCCCCTGAGCCTTCATTTTTATACCAGAAAAACCTGCTTTTCTATTGAGATCCATGGTGCAGTTTCTGAATGTTTCCCTTCACTCTAATCCCCATCCTTGGATCTTTCAGACTAGAGTACATATTTTCTCATAGGGCTCCCATCTTCCACAGCTAGCATGCCCTGCTACTAGAGAAGAGGTCATTTGTGCAGCTTGAAAGCTGGGAGAGGCTGCTGTACAAAATATTTGCTTTCAATTACCACTTTCTCTCAGGTGTCCCAATCTGGCAACTGTGAAGCAGGTTCCTTTCAAAGGGGAACCAGCATTGGGCCATGATAAACAGGATCTTCTTTTTGTAAGTCATTTTGGCTGTTCTTTCTGGAGCATAATATTTGCCTGAATTCTTGTGAGAGCAAAGTGTTCTCAAAGTAACCAAGACAGCAAAGCTACCTTTAAATTTCATGCCAT